TGAATAATCATGTTACACTGACTTCGAATAATTCATCACCGTGAAAATTTGGAATGAAAAGAGAAGTGACAGTATATAATTCAAACATGTTCTACATATGCACTTGTTAGCAAATGAACATTTTGATTGACGGAACCATAAAGGAAGCTTTTGAATGGTGTGTTGATATTTCAATTCATATCAAAGTGCATAACTTGTCATCCCGCAAGTAATAGGTGAATCAAAACAGTGTAAAGAGACATTAATATGTACATTTGTATTGTGGCATTGCACGAGCTCCACCGCTTGTGATCAGCTTTGTGTGAGGCGCTTTCCATTTTTTGAGCTCCACAATAAATCTTTGAGGGTCGTAATTGGCTGAAGCATCGCTCCGTTAGCTGCAAAAGTGCCACCAATTAACGCTAATACAAAAGGACTGCGAGCTCGTCCTTTGTAACAGCAGTGCCAGAACTGAGTCACTTCAAAATTCCTCTTCATTACACGTATGAGAATACGCCGACAAAATAACATTTTTCGGTACAGCAACTGAGTATTATTATTTGAAGGGGGGTTAGATAATTTTGCCCTTGGGCGTCCAGAGTAGAAAGCTGATTTATGAATCGCTAGTTTCCAAAGTGAATTGATGCAAAGACATGTGATGTTAAATGGCTACCGAGCTCATTAAAAAATTGTTTTTTGACCACGTAAAGCGTTTTGATAGTGATGGTGTCTCCATCAACTGTACTTGTGTTGTACTATCAACTGTACCATTTAGAGTTGCAGCGCCTCTTGCATGGCCACATTCAGCATTCACAAAGTATCGATATTGAAAGCCACGTCGCACAGAATAAGTCCCTCTTGTTATGATTAATGAGCATCATACATTATATAAAGGACCATGGAATCCCATGAAAATTATGACTTTCGAAGCATTTGTCAATTGCATAACGGGACGAAATATTTCCGTCAATAAAAATTTTTATTAATGGTAATTAATTATTTTATATAGGTGTGTTTCATAAACACATGAGCTGAAAATTATTAAGAATTAAAAACCTTATAAAATTACGCGACAGGTTTTGGGCATATAACTTTCAGATTTGGGTTCTATTAATCCACACTTTTGAGAAAAAATCTTGCAGTCTTAAAATATTAAAAATGTAGAAAGCTCTATTCAATAATTGAAAAATCTTCTGAAGCGAATAAATCAAGTAAGTTGTTGATGAAGAAATTTTCACCATCTTTCGATCACGCGTACAACGTTGAGCGCTCTTAATTTCCCTTTCCAATGCCTTTCTGTTCTCCTCAAAATGTTTGTTGGATAAATTAAAAGTCAACGCCGCTGATTAAAGCTGCAAACAAACTTAATTAAGCCGCATATTGTTCGATGGGCAAAATACATTGCTTAGGTTTCATGCTGAGAGAAGTGTTAATTGTAGGTGAGTCTTCAATCAGAGCTGGACTAATCCAGTCTTGAATGCTATAGGAACAAATTACGTAGAGGAAGTCCTGATGTGAAGTTGAACAATATACTTAGAAGAAGTCCTGAAGTAAAATTGAACAATTTACTTAGAAGTCCGGAAGTGAAGTTGAACAATTTACTTAGAAGTCCTGAAGTGAAGTTGAACAATTTACTTAGAAGTCCTGAAGTAAAATTGAACAATTTACTTAGAAGAAGTCCTGAAGTAAAATTGAACAATTTACTTAGAAGAAGTCCTGAAGTGAAGCTGAACAATTTTCTTGGAAGAAGTTTTAATATGAAGCTGAACAATTAAGTGACTGGAAGTCTTTGCGCGGAGCTGAACAATTAACTCAAAGGAAACCGTGCAGCGAAGATGAACTCTGAAGTGCGAGTTGCTGTGCCGCGCTGCGTCTGGCGATCTGATGCTGATTTCCCTAGAGAACATGAGCACGGCTGATGCTCCTTTTTAGCGCAATGAAATTTCCCTTTAATTAGGATCCAAAGCTTAATAATGCTCACTCAATGGCCTAAAAAACTGCAGCGGATGTGACACTGGGATACAATTATCTAGTAGAACTCTACAGTATATCCTTGTCATTTTTATTGAAGCCTTAGGAAAAGGTACAATCATTTTCAAAAAATGCGAACAAGTGCATTTGGACCGCTGAAGATTTCATGAAATTTTATGCAGTTCAACTAACTTCATTAGCCCGCAAGAATTCTGAGAAGACCAACTCTTGTTATTTTTTTAAGCACTAACAAGTCGGACTTCGGGCAGGTCCAGCCAAATTTTTTCTGGTAAGTTTCAGCGGGTTCATTCATTCAAAGAACAAACCGAATTACTTCTTTTCTCTGCTTCCACAAGCGCTACTCGGAATTTACACGCATTAAAACTTTGATGTGTGTGCTGCATTTTAGATTTTTTTGTTTTTTGTTTATATAACCTAAGCATAGTGATTCGGCACCTTGAAAAGAACTTTTATTGCAAACGTTGATTGGAATCAGGTTCTAGAGAGCCTCGCTTAGTTTTAATCATTCCTTCTGATGTAATATTCAAGCAGTGGACACGACCTAGCGTATTTTTACAACACTTCTCTTTAACTTCACTTCTTGTTTGTCTGTCTGTCTGCTACAAATCTTATAATAAAAATTTAACACACTTCTACTTATCCTATCGATCTGAAATTTTACACCCTTGCGTAAAGTTGGAGACAATGCAAGAATCAAATGACAAACTAGATGATTTTAAAAATTAAAATGGTTTTTTTTTTTTGATATTAATAAATTCAAAAAATTATTTTGTCAGCTACAAATCTTAAAACTGACATTTGACACACTTTTACTTGTCCAATTGACCTGAAATTTTGCACACTTGTGTGAAGTCGAAGACAATGCATGAATCAATTGACAGAACAATTAATTTTGAGATAAAAATGTTATATATTAAAAAAATGAAAAATTAATTTTTTTATATTCAAAAAGTAGGATGAGAAATTCATTTTACACCTTTAACATTGGGGACACTGGATTCATTAGAAGTGTTGTCTTTAAAAAGTAATTTTTAAACGTATATTTATTTCTTGTGTGTATATATAAAGGTTATTCCCACTCGCAATAGAAAAGTTCCTACTTTGTCTGGAAAAAAATTTCCTTCCGTCAAAGAAATTTAGAGAACTTTTTTTCACCTAACTTTATCTATGTGCATTTAAAAGCTATGTTTCTGGTCCCTAGTGAACTGGGATTAAAAATGCCGAGAGTCAAGCGGGCAACGCGACGACTTCAATGCCAGCAACCCTTTTTCAAAATTGGGAAACCCTAACTCCTTACGCTCTTTATTAGTTTAAATATTTATTCCTATCAAATGAAAATAGAAAACAGAATTTCAGTCGACTCACAACTCTTCAAAGCGAAGTACTACATAATTCTGTCAAATTCAGTATATATGACCGCCTACTGTTCTATATTGTAGAAAATAAAAGTGACGCTATTTTCAAGACGCTATATTTATGTCAGCTCTTTTAACATTTAAACGAACACAGATAGATGCTCAGTACTTTCTAGAGCGGCGCCGACTACAGTTACATTCCTTTTCCTGACTACAGCTACCTTGTAAATAAGCCCTGCAGTGTGAAATATAAGATGTGTTGCAGCGAGAGAGCTGTAAAATTGGAGCAGCAGAAGCGCAGCTCGTCGAATAAGACGAAGTTTAAAGCACTTCCTTCGCAGTCGATTTAGCTGAGATCTCTGCGATGGGCTGGCCTGTTCTCGTGCGATGAGAACCAATGCTTGCTTCAGACTTGGGGTAACTCTTAGAGCACTTCAGGGAACTTCTCAAATAAAAGTTACGATAGAGACCGTTACAAAGAAAACACTGCGAGACCGCCATTTCGCTATGCGGTATCATCGGCATTCTGTAACCATCGTCCATGTACACTCTGAAATTGGTCCTGTTAAGAAGAATCTTTAAATTAAATTGTTTCTAATGAAAATGGTTAAATAGAAAAATAAAAAAATGTTCACGCTCTGAGTTATAGCCAATAGATATCGCATGATCATCATGAGAATCATCAGAAATTCACATACATACTTTACGTTCAATTAAAATCGTCTCACTTAAATCTCGGAATTTTCTGGTCTCCCGTCTAACGAGAAAAATGGGTAAATTAAATATATATGGCAGGTGCACAGAACTTGGGTTTAATATTCCAAGCCAATTTACAGCTAAATCCAAGGCAACCAGCAAGAAATAAATTCAAATTTTTTTAGGGATGGCGCTTTGCAATAACTTTTTTAGAGTCTTGTTTACCCGTGAGTTTTCTCATCCCTGTTTTATTGATAATTCATTGTGAAGAGAAGGAATCTTCAATTACAGGGAATAATTCAAACCAAGTAGCACATCAGAAACATCATACCTCATTATATAATAATTTATATCCTCGTTAAACGATAATTTATTACAGGTACAGAGATTAATGTTGCAGGGCAGAGGCGCTGGGAATGTTTACGTCTGTGACGACGCAATTTCAGCTGACCGTGTGAGCTGCCATATGGCCCATCTCAGGACACTTGCTGCCTTATTGAGCAATAGCTTTTAATATCACGATGTCACCGTAAAATCTGTACTCCTAGGTAGCCGATCTTTTAAAATTTGTCAATTGATAGATTACATTAACTTGCATGGATAGGAAAACACAAATGGGATGATTCTCCGCTATTCATTGTTCATGAGTACTTGGGATCTCAATAGTAATTATTGTGGGTAGCCACTTAGAAGTCTGCTCCTGGTGAAATCCTTAACAATCAAATCCTTGCAATATTTGCTTTCGGGTAATGTCCATAGACAACAATGTTTTGATAAGTAAGAAGCTTGATATTTTATTGTATCATGTCACTACACACTGCCCTATTTCACATAGGTTTCTGCCGAGTCATTGAGCGACAGCCGAGCAGACGATCCTTGACACTCGGCGAGCCTCAGCCGCCATCGTCCCATGCGTTGCTTCTCACGATGATAAGGGACAATAACATGTGTCAGCACCACAGGTTCTCATGAAGTGCTGAGTTAAGAAACTTAAGCTTCACAATGAGTGTTTATTGATCTTAACACGCAGTGTGAGTGAGATTTGGGGAAATAACTGAACCTCTCAGTTTTCAGCCATTGGATTTTAGATCGTCACAATGTAAGTAATATTCGTAATTGGATATGATCGGGCCTTTCTCGTTAAATTATTAAAATAAATATTTGGAGTTCATAATGAGTTTATTTATATATGAAACAGTATGACGGTATAGCTACAAAACAGCATTCAATTAATAAATTTATTCGTTACCAAGTATTAGTCGCTATTATAAGTTATATCGCGCATGACCATTGGTCATAATTTTTGCTAAAACTGTTCCAAAATTTTGCTAGCCAAAGTATAGCAAGATAAAACGAAGTATTTTTCATTAAAAAATCTGAACATTTACTGTATAAAACATCATATTTTGAAAGTTCTCCTTAAAGCATTGCACTGCAATAACAAATCCTCCATAAGCAAGCGACGTATGTCAGGCGCGCACTTCTATACGCTAGTCGTGATCGCCGGTGCTCGTCAAAGCCTCAATTAGAGCCGCAATTGAGCAGCTGTTATGCTGCGGAACTTCCAGCAAACTGCAGCCAATAACTCCTCAACTTAGTTTAGACTTGGCGTGTGTGTGAATGTATATCGTGAATTGGACGCGCATCATTGATGCAATATATGCCAGAGATGCATTGAATTTAGTTTAAACTCGGCGTGCGTATAGATCAATAATTATACGTGCACAATGATGCAATAAATGCCACAGGTGTATTGAATGTAGTTTAGACTCGACATTTGTGTATACATCCTGTATTGTACTGTTTGTTTGATTCAGTAAACGTGCATTCATCCGTGAGCATTATTAATGTTCAAGGGTCCATATACCAATGGACTTATTACAAACAAATATTCACGTTGGAAATGAATGGTATATGTATCATTAGATTGTATTTTTCCTTAGACATTGATAAACGTGCATTATTGCCAATGCTATGTAAGGTTGTCTGAATCCCTCAGTACAATATCTTTACCAATTGTGCATATGTGACCTTTCAGTGCACAATATATTTAATTATCCCTTTTCAGTTAAAATGTAATTAATAGCGATCAAAAAACTTTAACTCTGAGCATTTATTTTCTACTTGAACATAACCCGTCTTAAAACACGAAAAATGTTTCAGTCTGATTACTGAAACAATAACTGTGGGTATCATCATAATTTTTGTGTTTTTATTGCTGTTATTCAGTATATTATTTTATTTCAGCTCTTTAATTTTTCCGTAGTGTCATTTAGTTGCCAGTTGCATTATAGCTGTAAATATCATCCAACAGAATCTACCAAATGAAGCCGTTCCTTGCCATCATCGTGGCGCTAAGCGTCGCTGGTCTCGCCAAGTGCGCCATCATCGGACGCGTCGTTTGCGACTCGTCCATCGCCGGCGACATCTACGGGTTCGGCGCCACGCCCGTCAACGGCACCATCGCTGATAGGATCTCCTTCGACGTGTATCAGGGCTCGGTGCGATCACGGTGAACTCCAGTGCTAGGTTGAGATTAGGGTGGGGGATCAGGAGAAATATAGATAGAGAGAAAGAAAGCCAGAGAAAATGAGTAATAGAGAGAGCGAGAGAAGATGAGTAATAGAGAAAAAGGAAGCGAGAGAAAATGAGTAATAGAGAGAGAGAGAGAATGAAAGCGAGAGAAAATGAGTAATAGAGAGAGAGAAAAAGGAAGCGAGAGAAAATGAGTAATAGAGAGAGAGAAAAAGGAAGCGAGAGAAAATGAGTAATAGAGAGAGCGAGAGAAAGAAAGCGAGAGAAAATGAGCAATAGAGAGAGAGAGAGAGAGAAAGAAAGCGAGAGAAAATGAGTAATATAGAGAGAGAGAAAGAAAGCAAGAGAAAATGAGTAATATAGAGAGAGAGAAAGAAAGCAAGAGAAAATGAGTAATAGAGAGAGAAAGAGAAGAAAAGCAAGATAAAATGAGTAATAGAGAGAGCGAGAGAAAGAAGGCGAGAGAAAATTAGTAATGGAGAGAGAAAGAGAAAGAAAGCGAGAGAAAATGAGTAATAGAGAGAGTTAGAGATAGAGAGAAAGACAGCGAGAGAAAATGAGTAATAGAGATAGAGAAAGAAAATAGGAGAGCGTTTTGTAAGGATTGAGAAATCATGTTCAATCCAAAGAAAAACAGAAGAGAGAGACAGAAAAACGAAGTTTATTAGAAATATAAGATCATGTTTGTTTAAACAGAGAGAGAAATTTTTGATATAGTAAAACGGATGTGTTGTTGTAATGTAGAATTTTTTTGTGAACAGAGCGTAAATAAACAGGACACAAGTCTAGTGCGTTGATGTTTCTTGGATATGCACAGGGATATTCTTAGGCTCACGTACTGAATTTCTGTCAGTCATAAAATTTATTGGAATATTCTTTAAAATTTTTTGCAACTTTTGAACCTAGGTTCATTTAACACATCATGAGAGGAATACTTTAACATTCATCTTTTATATTTTTATACGTAACATTTACATTAGTTAGATTTTTCGAACAAAATAAGTCAGTGACAAATAATTAGCACGTGCCAGCTACAACTGGGTTAAAATGTATCTTAGTGATAAATGTGGAGTGCGTTTCAAATGCTGTTGCACATTTACTTCTAAAAATCCAAGGATCTGCTAACATGTTAATAATATGTTTTTGCTGCAGGTTGTGTTGGTGACGAACGTCGCAAGTTACAACACGCGCAGCACCTCAGGCTTCTTGGAACTCAATGACCTCATGAGCCAGTACGCCTCACAGCCATTCATGGTGCTCGCCTTCCCGTCGACACAGTTCAACAGGGTGAGCTCAGTTCAACAGGGTGAGCTCAGTTCAACAGGGTGAGCTAAGTTCAACAGTGTGAGCGTAGTTCAACAGGGTAAGCTCAGTTTAACAGGGTGAGCTCAGTTCAACAGGGAGAGCTCAGCTCAACAGTTGAGCTCAGTTCAACAGGGTGGACTTAGTTCAACAGGGTCAACTCAGCTCAACAGTTGAACTTAATTCAAAAGGGTATGTGTGATTTCAACTGGGCGATGCCAACAGTGACGAACAGAAAATTTGGCTGACTTGCTAAGGAAGACAAGATTACGAAACTAATCTTACATTTATTCCCGCTGATTGCTTCTGTTCAGTTCTCTAATATTATCGGATATTCATGCGAATAAAAACTAAAGTTCCTAAGCAACCTAAATTGTTCATCGAGTTTCCTTACAAACTAGTTTTCTTAACTTACTGCTCTGAAATTTTAAGATTGTAATTTTCTTAACTAACATTATCGAATATGCATTTTGATTGGATAGACACTAATATACAAATTGATCACACAGAAAATGTTCAATCGATCATATAAAAGATGTACAATCGATCAAACAAAAAATGTACCATCGATCAAACAAAAAATTTACAATCGATCAGATAAAAGATGTACAATCGATCAAACAGAAAATGTTCAATCGATCAGATAAAAGATGTACATTCGATCAAACAAAAAATGTACGATCTATCAAACAAAAACGTATAAATATATTCTTTGATCTCGCAGGAAGTGCCGGAGAGTAACGATGAAATGATGGACGCTCTGTTCTACGTGCGCCCTGGCAACGGTTTCGTGCCCACGTTCCCGGTGTTCCAGAAAACGCTTGTGAACGGGGATGGCGAAGACGCGTTCTTCACGTTCATCAAGGTTGCTGCAAGAACTTCAGTTTTAGCTCGATGACTTGCAATAATTTTTCATATTCATTAATCTTTGATTATTTGCATTGTCTCTCTGAAGATTTTTATGGTCAAGGCCTTCATCTATTCCTTTTATTGTTTGTAGAAATAACTTCGAGCTTGACGTTCATAATCAAGATAATGGCTCAAATATACTTCGAAAATTTCAACCCTATTGTTGAATTGGCACAAAAAATTTAATTTCCCGTCTTTCGATTGCAGAGCGGATGTTCGTACACGGAAGAGGAATTTAACGTTGACTTGGAATACTCACCTATGACAGTCTCAGACTTTCGTCAACCCTTCGAAAAAATTCTAGTCGGCAAAGACGGCAAGCCTTATTTCCGCTACCACGCCTCGGTCGACGTTAGCGTTGTCATCGCCGACATAGACGCTTTGTTGGCTGCCTGAAATATGTACTGTACGTGCCTTCCCAACTGATGAGCATCGCATGTTCTTGCAAACTTATTACAAAGAATCTTGAAAAAACTGTCGAAAGGTTATTCTCCGTCTTGTTGTCCTGAGTTTCATCTTAGATGAATCGCTGACAAATGGAGCAGTACAAACACTGCAATAATCGTCCCGTCTTCTTTCTACTTGAAAGACGGAGATATTTTGTAGCAGCGTAGATACCTGCCTCACTATTTGATGTCCCATACGGCCCACCACTGACACAATGGACGCAATTCTGTATTTTTCTTCCCAACCTCCATTCGTTGTTCATGCGGTCGCAGATCCAATGGCCTCATTAAACCACTCACCTACTGGCGAAATATGCTCGTATCCATAGATCGATTGCCAGAACACACGCTTTTATGTGCTTTCTTAGGGATGAATATTTTCATGTTTCTTTGGACGGGTACCGCGAAGCAAGCATTTTAAGCACGAGTCTCATTTTGAGTTTTTGCTATGGGCGATAAGCTCTAATGAGTTACGTAGTATTTTAAACCTCCAGCCTCCATCAGCGAGAAATATTTGGTCGGAAATTTGGCCACAACAGAGGATTCCATTAGCGAGGCATTGTGCGTCATCACAAACGTTATACACAGAATCAGTGCCGCAAGTAAGAAGCACCTTGGTACGCGAAAATCATGTAACGTGATACAGTTAGGATTTTTTCCAATAAGCCAAACTTTAGAAATTTAAATTCGTTGGTAACTTAACATGCCTTATTCATTTTTCGTTCTGCGATCAAGGACATAACTTTGAAAGTAAGCAATGGATAAAATGAACGAAAGAGTTTGGAATTTTTTCACAACTAGTGCTTTTTCATATATGAACTCATATGAATTAAATGAAAATAGGCACCTTACTAATACCATCTCTAATATCTCGATCATACCATCACCGCCATCCATTGGCAATGCAAGGTAATATATATTATAAGATTCAGAAAGCCTTTATACGTAATACTTGTGCTCTGATTTTATATTAGGAAGTGACATGCGCCATGAAATAACGCCTGCTGATTAAATGAACGCAACGACGCAAGAATTTCCATTTGACCGATAAGAAATATACCCTTTCAATGAAAATTTTGGGAAGCCATCTTGACATTAAATTACTCGTCTTGTCGAGTGCGGAGTTTGCTTTGAAATTGCCGTGAATGTAGTCAGTGATGCATGTTCATGATCCTTGCAACCGTGCAAATACTTCAAAGGCATCCTAGCTCGTAGTTTCTCACGAGCCTGAACTTTGCACTTCCTTCTTAAGTCGTCGATCAGCCGGAAAATGGATGAAGAAGCCGTCCTTTTCAACCGAGGCTGATTGATTGAATTGTGTCGTAGAAAAAATCCATCGAGACGGTAAAAAATGGTGATTGGAACCAGGTTCTGGAGAAATTGTGTGGTTATCCGAGACTCAAACGAAAGACGAGCAAAAACCGAGGAAGTGATAGCTTGCATTCTCCGAACTCATCGATACAAAGGATTCTAAAGCAATTGACAAATAATAATACAATTAGCAATAGTAAAATTATTTGTCAATAAGCAAGAAATTGACAAATATTGACAAATAATAATTTGTCAGTTGCTTTCGATTATAAATAAGCAATTGTTATTAATCTTATGTACAAATAAGCAGGCGCTTATTTGTCCATAAGCAATATGTCAATAAGCAATGAAAATTTGACAATAATAATTATGCATAACTTTCTATTGCTCGGAAGGAAACGATATTCGAATAAAATCGCGAGAAAGTTGAACTAAATTGCTATAGAAATCCGACAAAACTAAACTTTTTTGCGCAGAAAATGACGTAAATAAGACTATCGCGTATGCAGCTCGGCAATCTCGCTGGAGCAATGCGGAGCAAAGGGCATCTGTGGTGGCATTTGCCTCATTGTAACAAATACGAACGCTTTAGAGTTCGAGACGGGAGGCTCACGAAGCCTTGCCGTCTGTGTCAGATGAAAACAAATGAACGTTCGAGCAAAAAGCAATTGCTAGACTTGAGGGAATAAGAACGAAGCTAACTTTGCTGTGGGACCAGAAGATGAGCTCTGGGTTTTGTTTTTGCGAAGCGCCTGGCACTGAAAGATCGTCGCCGCGCGCTCGGACACCGAATAAATGCCTCGCCGTCTCAACGAAACCTCTCAGGAGATTGCAAGCTACGCTACTGAAGTCCTTGCCCCGACTTTACATAATCATTCTACTTAAAATTGTACCAGAGGACCATCTTTTCTCTGTACATTTGAATACGAAATCATACATGGAGGCTATGCATTATTTGATCCATACTTTTAAAAAAGGTCGCTTTAAGACAAAATTATAGATTTTGCCCCAACAAATTTTCAGATTGAATTTCAAAGTAATTTCTTTATTCGGCCTATGATTGACTTGAAACTATCGCATGGGAATTCTATACACACTCGTACATATAAACTACCACTTGAAAGACACTTTGGTTATTTTCTGGAGCACATGAACTACAGTAAGATTTTGAAGAGAGTCGTGAATTAGGCCCAGCAAGAAAAACGGTCCCCATTCCATAGCTTAGAAGTTGATGTTTCACTTCTGAATTTCTCTCACTGCAGGCGCTAGCTCGTTAAGTTTGTGAATGCATTAGAATATTTTTGTACCGAGGCAAAGGCGCTGTTGCATTTGGTCAGCCATGAATTTCTTGAAAGTAGCGCTCGCATTCTCAGCCTAGAACCTCCTGGGTCTTTGAGCTGACACTTTTAATGCCTTCACGTCATGTCCCTGAGGGATCGTCTGGAAAATGCCTAGCCATAAGCACTGGAACTGGAGTGCTAGATGAGCTGGACGTACTGCACATGGAAAGTCGTATATGCCATGAGCTTTCAGAGTGTAACGCGAATGAAGAGCAAACTCAAGCAGTGTAACTTCTCTTCTCAAAGTCGAACTTCTCTTCATTTATAAAATGTTTATTATTATGACACTTTCTCTGCTATTGGAAAAATATTAGATTTCCTTGACGAATAAAATCATGCTTGATTTGTTTTAGCAATGAGAGACAATTATTAAAGAAATTACTAAGGAAAGTTACTAAAAAAGGCAGTTATTGTCATAAGTTACTAAGAAAAAGCATTTGCTTCAAAATAATTTCTTTTTGTATTTGGACAGACGATTTTTTTTCCAAATTTAGTTTTAAAATATTCTGATTCGAGATATTAAAAAATTTAGAATTTTCGGCAAGCAAAATTTGTAATGGGCTGGAAAGAGCATAAGGCAAACACGAAAGAAATCAATTTTAACAGATCAGCTTGACATTTCACATTTTATTCTAGTTCATTTTGTTTCTTCACTGAAATTCTGAACGCCTTCACTGAACTTCGTCTTCGACCTTGGTGGCTAATGAATGTGGGCAGAATAAATGGATTGCAAGCCTCCATGTAACTGATTGTTCTTACTTCAAGGTTATTGAGCAATTAAAAATTCAGCTGAGTTTTGAATTGCTCACTTCATTTAAACATTTACGAACTGGAATCTACAATCATAATGAGGAACATTCAGGGTGATTCAGGGAAACTTCCTGTTTTGTATTTGCACCAAGTAACCAAATGTTGTAGGTAAAGAGCGAAAACATTTCATTAGTAAAAATAAAGTCATGAAGTTTTTTATCCCGCCTAGTCAATTGCTTCAGCGAGTTGAACGGACTTAAAAAATCGACAAATGAATGCATTGACCATGGGGTGCTGTCATATATTTGTCCGACGTCACGTGATACAAAAATTCATGTAATCCCTTTTGCAATAAATTTATATTGTAATCATATCTTTACTAGATCTTTTTTATTAACTTTTCGAATCAAGAAGTTTCCGTGGATCACCCTGCATAAAAGAATAAGTCTCTGGTCATTCATGTTGAATTCAGGGTTATTTCATGTTTTTTGAAGAAGAATTAGTGAATTCTTAACAGAATCGGCTCGCGAGCCGCTTATGGCAGCCGTACAAACACAAGCTTCAGATCCGCAGCTTCAATAAGGATATTGCTGCGACATCACAAGCCCGACTGCAGGTAAGAAGTTCTGATGGCAGACCGACTAAGAAAAAGATAAAGTTCCATGTTAATTTTATAACCGTTTCATCTGATCTTTTATATATAAGTTAAACAAGCATTTCAGCTTCTGACTTCAGAAAATTATATGGGTTTATTATTTGCAGCAAACAATTTATAAGCTTTATACAAATAATTTCTCAGCATAAAGTTATGTAAGAAAGCCATTCGTATGACGCGTCAAGCCATTCTCAAGAATTATTGATGCTCCTTCATCTAGATCATCGTTTATTGGTCCATGAGATGTGAAAAAACAATTTCTTAGATATTCGTTGCACTTCACTTACAGCAAATTTCAAATGAAAACTACCCAGTTCACAGAAAATCACTCACAAAAAAGTGCATTATATCACATCCATGTTATCTACTTTTTTATGGTGTCTCTTACATATTTTTTATGATGTGTCTCTTTTTTTTAATTTAAGTGTCTCCCACATGTGAAAATTACATAAGTAATCCAAGTTAAAGACTTTGTTCGGATTTATTTTGGAATTGCGACAGCTCGACGACTGGAAGTTCAATTGCTTCAAAATAGTATTTATTCGTGGTAAACATAAAGGCCTTTGACACTTGTATTATCGGCCAAAGCCTATAATTTAATGTAGTTGACCGTAATGTTCATTTATATTATTTTTTTCGAAATCGAACGACAATTTCAGTTCAAGTACAAAGGTCAAGGCAGCTAAAATCAATATTTATTAGTGGATCTTATTTATACGTGGGTTTATTAGTATTTAGTTGTGATTGTGTGCGTTACGTGGACCACAGAACGGTCCCCGAAATCCCACGAAGCCGGCCTCGTCGTCCGGTACTTCAATAGAGGAAGCGGATTAGGAAGCCTTAGAATAGCAAGCAATTTGTTTTAATTAAGATTGACGGGTCCAAGAAGATTGCGTCGGTGTGGCTACGAGCTCAGAAGCTTAGGATTGATAGAGGCTCTTATGACGAGCTGCCCGCAGCTACTGCGCTCCTGGGCCACAATAAAATAAATTACGCCT